AAAAGAAAAGTAAATAGAATAGAGAGTGCTAGTATTAAAGGGTCAAGTTTTTTTTAAGAAATAAAAAGAAAACAAGTAGATAGAATAGAGCGAGTGAGTGTTAGAGGGTCAAGTGTAGATGGAAATGATATGTCCTTAGCCATTTCTTGAAGATGGCTAAAGACTAAAGACTGCTCGGATCTTTTATCACCCTGATATTGATTATTTTATTATGGCATTTATTATATTTTATTAATAGATTACTTACTAAATAAATAAATATATGGACATTAAATATTTATTTTGAGTTGAAATCACATTATTATGTGTGAAGAAAGAGGCCAAATACTGATGCGAGAGACATTTAAGAAATTGATGACAACAATCAATTATACAGTTTAATAACTGGCTAATCAGAATCATGTATTCAAGAGAGCTTTGTAATAAAATATGTAAATAAAACCTTTGAGATAAGATTGCTCTCTTATATAATGTGTTGTAATGCAAAAAGCTAGTGAGGTAGCTCTGGGCGTTGTATATTTATTTAGGTGACGTGCTCTTAATAATACGTATTCATTAAGAGCGGCCATTTGTGAATCATATTCTCTCATAATTGTCCATCCTAATTTTACAGTATTTAATAGGATTCAAAATGTTTAGAAAGGATTGGCTAACAACTCGTAACTAACAATCAATTATCCGGCTCTGCTGAAGAGGGCTTAATGAACGTTGCGCTAATTATCCAATCTAGAGCCATTAGTTCCTTGTCAGCCACTGGCAATTGTCTAATTGTGGCTGCGATGTGGCTTCCAGATGAACCCCGGCCAGTGAAGCAGCGGCGAGCTCGGGCCAACTACAGCAGCTGGCAGCTGGAAGAGCTGGAGAAGGCCTTCGAGAGCACCCACTACCCAGACGTCTTCATGAGAGAAGCCCTGGCCCTCAGACTGGACCTGATAGAGGCCAGAGTGCAGGTCGCTCTCTTTGACTGTTGTGATGCATGGAATAATAGGGATATTTACTAAAGATCTCTGAACCATTGCTAAGACGTTTATTTTTTTTTATTTTACAAAATGTGCAGCATTGTTCGTCTTTAAAGTGCTGTTTTGTCCCTAACATTTTCATTGAGGAAATGCTGTAGTGACATGATAACATTTAGAATCTTTTCAATAATAATAATAATATTAATAATGCATTTTATATATATTTTAAATTTTTCTTTTTTTCCAAGTACAAATTTACTTGAAGCAAAGGGGGAAAAAAACTAATTTTATTTACTTGATGAGAGTAGACTGAAACAGATGCAGCCATTAAACATTACCTCAGTATCACACAGGGCACATTAAAAATCCCATTCAATTCATTATTTATTATTATGCACAATTACACACGCAATGAGGTTAAACAGTGTGACTGAGAACAGCAAATTTCTTCACTCTGTATTGTTTTTGCTTCTTAGATTGTCACAATATCTTGTGTTATCTGTGAAACCAATGGACGCTTTTCAAATTTCCAGGGTTCTCAGAAGCAGAAGTGGTCATAGTTGGCTAAACTTCCATAGCGGTGAATAGAAACTACAACAAACTTATTTTTTGCGCTCCCGTTTACCCCAATAGCAAAAGAAAAATTTGTGATAGTGTTTTAGTGTAGGAAAAGCTATCAAGAGATTGATTACAGAAGAGAGAAAGATGTCAAAATTGCCATCGCTCTCTCAGCAGTGGTGTTAGAAACATGCAGCAGTGTTAACTATTTTTATGTAATTTAATGCCAGTGTAATATAGTAAAAAGTACAGTGTTATAATTGTACAATAGATTTTTAAAAAATTTAAATATAAAAACGCTATATTTACAATATTAATATCTGTGGAAACGCATCATCATAGTCTGTGAAAAGGGTCCATAGTAACACCTTTTTTATTTTTTGCAAATGTGCAAAATTTGCATGTCCATACAAATTTTTACTTTTTTTTTTAAACAAATGTGAAGTTATATGTATCTACTTTTAGAATTATTCTTTTTTTTTCATATTAGGAGTATTTTGAGTGTTCTTTAATTATGATTGGCAGCAATTTATAAACAGCCTTTAAAACAAAATGTAAAAATGTTTTGAGGTTGCTTGCTTTGCTTTATGGCGACAATGGACATTTACAAAGGTAACGGTGTGTTCTCAAATGTTGTTGGACTGACAGCTAGTGAACAAGAGGAGCTAAAAGAGGAAGCTCATGGTGATCTCATCAATGGCCAACTCCTCTATCAGCTATCCTGTTACCCTGCGTGAAAACACAGGATGTCTGCAAGCTGCCACAAGCCCTCCATAAACACAATAGGGACGGCTGAAAACTGCCTGCCTTTTCTGGCAAATGTGCTTTTTAAAGACTGCAACACACTTGTATTTTCCTCCACAATAGATGTTAATTGTGCTGAACATTTGTTCATATACTGTAAATGAATTTTTTAAATCAATTTTTATTTCATGTTTCATGCTTAATATTTGCATGTTTTCTTTTTAAAGAAAGATATGCTACTTAAATGGATAATTCAACCAAAAAAATGACAATTCTGCCATCATTTGCTCACCCTCAAGTTGTTCCAAACCAGTATGATTTATTATCTGTGGAACACATTAGAAGATCTTTTAAAGAATGTTGATAAACAAACGGTTTTGGGTCCCATTTACTTTATGGACAAAAATGGGACCTGAAACTGTTTGGTAAATGATGACTGAATTTATATTTTTATGTGCATTATCCGTTTAAATACACTTAAAGGCACAATATGTAAGATTTTTAAAAAAAATCGCTTGAAGAACCGTTTGAAGCACCTTTATTTTTAAGAGTGTAAAGTCCGCTTCATTCAATGTTTGTGCAACCAAAGCCCTTGTTGAAGAGCCAGAAATTGCATTAGTCTTTAGGTCTTTAGAGTCAGTGTGGAGTAAGAGTGCCCTCCTCTGGGCAACAGGGTTCTCTTGAGTTTAAAGGCGTCTTGTTTTGAGATTAAGCAGGTCTGTTTGATCAGAACAGTCATTACTCTCTTACACCAACAGTATTGAAGTCTATGGGAATATTGTGCATGTGAAATCTGGAGGTTTTAATGTGTAACGAGTAGCTCAGATTGTCAGCGCTTCATCATACTCAGGCTCTGTCTTTCTGAAGTCCGGTGTCAAACTATAAATAATCCCATTGATTCTGCACCCATCCACAACTTGAGATGCTCACCGTGGGTTACCCAAGTCAAACTTAAAACCATCAGAGGAGGTGGATCATCTGAAATTACACTGAAAGCAATCTCTCTCTGCCTTAGGACAGTTGAACGGTGATGGTATTTCTGTCTACACTACGATTATAGTCTTTTACAATGTAGTCTTACAATGTTAATTGTAGGTATGATGTTTATTAAGGAAGGGTTAGACTATTTAAAGCAATATATGTCTGTATTATTATTGTTAAAGTAAAACAGGAGGAATGTTAAAGGTTTATTTCCCAGGGTTTAAATTCGCCTGTGCAAATGAGATGGACAGTCTGACCTTGTTAAGAGGCCATTGTAAACATTCATATTCATGCAGCAATAATTTGAACTGATTTATGCTGATGATTGTAAACATCCTCTGCAGCCCCCTGTGGATTCTTCATAAACATATTCCATGTTTAAACCACCTGTGTCATAAAAATATGGGTAATTCTTGTTATGAAGTACCTCATGAGCAATGAACAAATGAATGTGTTTCGTTAAGGAAGTACTTTTATAAAGCATACACCAGACTTTCAGATATATAGTCTGGTCGAGTTTGAAGCACTGAAAATTACTTCTAGAACCTAACAGGACAGAATAAAGAGATGAATCATTGTTCAGTGAGGGATAGCAAGTTTGCTTGCAGTACATGGTGTCAACCTGAAATTTATTTAAATACTTTTTAACCTTTTGATTTTTTTTGATAATATATTAATTTCTAAATAATATCTAAAAGGATGGAATGTTTGAGACAAACTAATAATGTAAACATTTATTTATCTATCTATCTCTGTGGATTCTTCATAAACATATTCCATGTTTAAACCACCTGTGTCATAAAAATATGGGTAATTCTTGTTATGAAGTACCTCATGAGCAATGAACAAATGAATGTGTTTCGTTAAGGAAGTACTTTTATAAAGCATACACCAGACTTTCAGATATATAGTCTGGTCGAGTTTGAAGCACTGAAAATTACTTCTAGAACCTAACAGGACAGAATAAAGAGATGAATCATTGTTCAGTGAGGGATAGCAAGTTTGCTTGCAGTACATGGTGTCAACCTGAAATTTATTTAAATACTTTTTAACCTTTTGATTTTTTTTTGATAATATATTAATTTCTAAATAATATCTAAAAGGATGGAATGTTTGAGACAAACTAATAACGTAAACATTTATCTATCTATCTATCTATCTATCTATCTATCTATCTATCTATCTATCTATCTATCTATCAAATATAAATACCAAAATATATAAATGCAAATTCTAACAGATTAAAATGCTGATCAGTATGTACTGCAAGTAATTTAGAGAGTTTAAATGCATTTCTTTCCCCCCCCCCCCAGCTGCTTTAAGGATTGAAATATTTTTTTTAAAGCCACAAAACTTGGAGCAACGTTCTACATTTGTGCATAAAACCTACATACAACTTCAAACTCTTTGTTTCACACACACACAGATATGTGTGTGAGTGTGTGTGTGTAGTTTGTGTTAAAAGTTAGTGAAATTATTCTACCACATTCTGATTTTATGACAAAATAATTTCTATCCTTACAGTTTAAATATGTTAAGACAAGTTGCATAAAATGCACTGCATAACAGTTGCTAAGGTAGGCCTTCATTTCGTCACATTCCACAAGTCTTTTTTAAGGACATATTACACAGCTATAATAACGAGCGAAACAGACTCAATTAGCGTTGAATCATTGATGATTTGAGGCTCCTCCCCCTTCGTTTCCTCTGTTCCACAGGTGCCGTGCTGAAGTGAAGAGCTCTGAGACGCGGGTTACAGCTCACATCCGCTTTTTACTCTCTTTCTTTGGGATTTCCCTCAGTGTCTCCACAGTCTTCTATTTCCGAGCTCCGTTGTTTCGTCGAACAGACGACGTTTTTCTCTCTCTGTCATTTAATAGAGTCTATCTGCCGTGCGGTTTGGCGAGGATGGCGGCGATCAAGGCGCTTCAGCAGTGGTGTAAGGTTCAGTGCGAGGGATACAGAGATGTGACCATCAGCAACATGAGCACATCTTTCAGAGACGGACTGGCCTTCTGCGCTCTCATCCACAAGTTCAGACCGGACCTCATGTGAGAGTCGTTTATTTATTCATTTTCACTGATTAGAATACAGATGCTGTTCACAACTTTTTGAGATGAGAGTAAAGTATCTTTGTCGTTATGAGGATAAAATTATGTAGTCCAAAGATATTAAAGTTTTAAATGTGAAATATTTATATGTTTTTGCTATATAATATAATATACCCAGACATGTATGTGTTTTATTTATTTTTTTATTATAAATGTATTTATTTATTTAAAAAAAATTTTGTGACCAGACATAAATCCATGTATTTGGATGCTTGTAGAATTTGTCCAATGACTCCTGTAGTAGTGAACTTCTTGAAACCAGTTGTAAAATGGCAATGAAAAGTTATGGTCTTTTTTTACAGATGAAGTGAGTAAAATTACATGTGAATGTTAGTTTTTTTAAATGTAGCTGAACTGTTACTAAAGCCACTGTAAGTCCATTATACTGCAATAGAATTATGACAGCAGGTTGACATGCTCTACTTCCATCTAAAAATGTTCAATTGATTTTATGATGTATACAACTTTTTTGACTTTATAGAGACTACATGGAATATTTGTATGCCACATTACAGGACTATTATAAATGAACTAATGAAGTGATTTTAAAAATTGGTGAAAATAGTGACTAATCATAGGACCCAAGATTTACACATTAATTTATCAGTTCAAATCACATGATATACATTTGCATTTTTATCCTGAAATCTTATCTATGGGTGTTTTATGGCCCATATACACTCACTATTTATTCATTCTCAGCCTCTTTTTTTTCTTTTCTTCTTCTTTAGACCGGCTGGTTGTGTTCAATTTTAATATTGTAGAATTTGTGACCTTTAAAAGCTATCACATAATGTTTAATTTGATGCAGATACACCTTTTTATTAAACTTTTTCAGCTTAAGTTACCATTAACCATTAACATTGTATTGTAACACTTCAAGGTTTCTGTATGTCTGGTGACTCATGTCTTTGTTTTCTTTCAGAAACTTTGAGTCTCTCTCCAAAGACGATGTGTATTACAACAACCACTTGGTAAGTTATTCTGTTTGGCTTTGATCATAGGAAGCTATGACAGACCTGATGCAGAGTGACCCATAATGCGTGTTTTGCAGGCAGTTTTAGCTGTATCCTGTACAGGTGTGTGTTTGCTACAGTCCTGTGATAATGCACACACTATTGAATGTTCTTCATTTCGTTTTTTTTTTTGTTGACAAGTTGGCTGGATGTTTGTTTGTAACCCAGCCTTATGTACTGATATTTTTGTTTCTCACTTATTGATATGAATAAGAGTGTTTAAAGGGATAGTTCACCCAAAAATGAAAATTCTGTCATTAATTACTCACCCTCATGTCGTTCCAAACCCGTAAGACCTTCATTCATCTTCGGAACACAAATTAAGATATTTGTTATGAAATCCAAGAGCTTTCTGACCTTGCATTGACAGCATGGGAACTACCGCGTTCAAAGCCCAGAAACGTAGCAAGGACATTGTTAAAATGGTCCATGTGACATCAGTGGTTCAATTGTAATTTTTATTTTTTGGGTGAACTATCTATTTAATACCCTTTTCTCACAGCTTGTGAAATGCGTGGTATCCCTTTTATGCAGAGTTCTTAAATGAATGAGACTTGTTGCTCAGTAAAAGGGCCTATTTATGGGTTGAGTCTTCCAGCCATAGCTTTTGGCACAATAAAGATATCCTTTAGTTTCTACAAGCATTGTCTTGCAGTGAAACGTCTTAAGTTTCAGACTTGTACTCTGTGAACTTGGGTAGAGGGAAGAATATTATCCTAAACCAACCAATTTTATTTATCAGGGCTTAGTTTATTTATTAGATTTTTTTTCAGTGAGTGATTACTACACGCTTTAGATCGATTCAAATATGTATTTATTCGTTTTAAAAGTTCCACGCTTATGCTTTGATCATTTGGTCACAGGCAGTCTTAGATTAAAGAGCGAATATATATATACAGTGGGGAAAAAAAGTATTTAGTCAGCCACCAATTGTGCAAGTTCTCCCACTTAAAAAGATGAGAGAGGCCTGTAATTTTCATCATAGGTATACCTCAACTATGAGAGACAAAATTAGAAAAAAAATCCAGAAAATCACATTGTAGGATTTTTAAAGAATTTATTTGCAAATTATGGTGGAAAATAAGTATTTGGTCAATAACAAAATTTCATCTCAATACTTTGTTATATACCCTTTGTTGGCAATGACAGAGGTCAAACGTTTTCTGTAAGTCTTCACAAGGTTGTCACACACTGTTGCTGGTATTTTGGCCCATTCCTCCATCCAGATCTCCTCTAGAGCAGTAATGTTGTGGGGCTGTCGCTGGGCAACACGGATTTTCAACACCCTCCAAAGATTTTCTATGGGGTTGAGATCGGGAGACTGGCTAGGCCACTCCAGTCCCTTGAAATGCTTCTTACGAAGCCACTCCTTCGTTGCCCGGGCAGTGTGTTTGGGATCATTGTCATGCTGAAAGACCCAGCCACGTTTCATCTTCAATGCCCTTGCTGATGGAAGGAGGTTTTCACTCAAAATCTTATTTTGGTTTCATCTGTCCATATGACATTCTCCCAATCCTCTTCTGGGTCATCCAAATGCTCTCTAGCAAACTTCAGACGGGCCTGGACATGTACTGGCTTAAGCAGGGGGACACGTCTGGCACTGCTGGATTTGAGTCCCTGGCGGCGCAGTGTGTTACTGATGGTAGCCTTTGTTACTTTGGTCCCAGCTCTCTGCAGGTCATTCACTAGGTCCCCCTGTGTGGTTCTGGGATTTTTGCTCACAGTTCTTGTGATCATTTTGACCCCACGGGGTGAGATCTTGCGTGGAGTCCCAGATCGAGGGAGATTATCAGTGGTCTTGTGTGTCTTCCATTTTCTAATAATTGCTCCCACAGTTGATTTCTTCACACCAAGCTGCTTACCTATTGCAGATTCAGTCTTCCCAGCCTGGTGCAGGTCTACAATTTTGTTTCTGGTGTCCTTTGACAGCTCTTTGGTCTTGGCCATGGTGGAGTTTGGAGTGTGACTGTTTGAGGTTGTGGACAGGTGTCTTTTATACTGATAACGAGTTCAAACAGATGCCATTAATACAGGTAACGAGTGGAGGACAGAGGAGCCTCTTAAAGAAGAAGTTACAGGTCTGTGAGAGCCAGAAATCTTGCTTGTTTGTAGGTGACCAAATACTTATTTTACCGAGGAATTTACCAATTAATTCTTTAAAAATCCTACAATGTGATTTTCTGGATTTTTTTTTCTCATTTTGTCTCTCATAGTTGAGGTATTCCTATGATGAAAATTACAGGCCTCTCTCATCTTTTTACGTGGGAGAACGTGCACAATTGGTGGCTGACTAAATACTTTTTTGCCCCACTGTATATGGTGCATTGGCATGTATAAATGTTTTTATTTATAAAAAAAAATTATTGAATTGTTAGTTTTTTTTTTATAAAGTTTTACTCCATAACTGAATCAACATTCTTTGTCTGATAGTGTAAGCTTTGCATGAAAGATTTAATTTGTGTTTGAGGGTAGGGATGTTGTCCAACCAGGACTTGTGACCCATAATTAATTTTCATCCCTGTCAGGAAGTGCTTCCATGAGAATGAGGTGGTAAGACGTACCACAACTGGGACTTTTTTTCCAAAATGATGAGCTCTTCCTCACATTGCTTCCTCAGAGACTGTAGATTGTAAGCCGCACACTCCGAGATCTCTTACAAACCCTCACCACTTCTATTGGCGGCACTCAACTGTGGCACTTGAACCCGATCTGTGTGGATTCTGTCCAGTTAATGCATTATAAAGAAGGGTGACAGTCATCTACAGGGCACCTGATCCTCTCCATCAAGATTAACTTACCTCTGTTCTACTACTGTCTTTACAATGTTAGTACATCTGTGCATTTGAACACTGCATTTAAATGCCAGTGCTTCCACAAGTGTGTTCTGTTAAAACCCAGCCAATATTTACCTGAAATGCTTTTTTCATACTATCAGCCCCACAGTGCTGTAACACAAAAGAGAAACAGGAAGTTGCAGCTGCTGCATCGTGGAGGATATGCCGCCCCTCCTCAGCTGTCCTGTAAAATTTAACGAGCGTGTCTAGGTCAGGCCTAAACAATGCCCTGGTATACCCCGTCCTGTCCCTGTTCCCAGGCTGCTGCGTGCACAGGAAATGTGCTATTCATTATGCACTCCCTGCCTTGATGTGTTGCCAGATTGTGATGCTCACTGGCCTATTCTATTTCTGACGTCTTCCTTTTTGTGCCTTGTCTGTGTTTAAAACAATTGTATGAGGTCCTGTTGAATGAGCATGTTCAGTGGTTGTTATAAACACAGAGTGCTTGTCTTTTGTCGTTGTGGGCATCTAATTGTTGTTTTCTTCTGTAGGGATTCATCCTCCTATTATGTGGTGTTGTAGCTGTGAACTTGATGGCTGATTTGTGTCATGCGATGTGCTGCAGGCGTTCCGTGTGGCTGAAGATCATTTGGGAATCCCAGCTCTTCTGGATGCAGAGGACATGGTGGCTTTGCCTGTCCCAGACAGACTCAGCATCCTCACATATGTCTCACAATACTATAATTACTTCCGCGCCCGCTTGCCAAGTAAGACTCCATTTATCCACCATCAGAGTGTTTATGAAGTAAAAGCCACCTTTTTTTGCAGGGACATTGTCTTATTTTAATTAGGGCTGGGTAAAAAATATCTATCTCTATTAATCAAATCTCATTTTTACGGAACGATATCGATTCTTAAATCCCATATCGCAATAAGCATTGTGCTTTGGTACTTTTAATATGAAACAAAGTCTCAGATTTCAAATTCTGTCCATTGTATTGCAGTATTCAAACAATAAATGCCATTTTGGCGCTGTTTAATGTGGAGTGACGGATCACTGTAGCGCCTCAGTTCAACAGCACGTAGCACACGTGAACTGATCATCTCCTCCACATTAATTCCAGTTTCAGTACAAAATAAACATGACTAAACATCCGAAGGCAAGTTAAAAGAAAGGGTACAACTTTACAATCTGTATCCTGTCTCATGTAATCGCTCAATCAGTGTTTCAGCCACGCAAAGACGTCAATATAACGGCTTGTAAAAAATAATAATAATAATAATAATGTCACATTTACCTCAGAAAAACGGATTCGGTGACCATAAACTCATTAGTCAGATAGAAAAATAAACTGTAGAGAGGGGCATTTTGTTAAGTATATGCACCATATAACACATTCATTATAAATTTGACTGTTCTTCAATGTTTAATTTGTTTGAATAAATCCATCAAGTGTTTATGACAGCCACCATTGTTTATATTTTAAAGGGGTCATATGATGTTGCTAAATATAACATTATTTGGTGTAATGAAATGTTTATGCGATTTTAAGGTTCAAAAACACATTATTTTCCACATACAGTACATTATTGTTGCTCCTCTATGGCCCGCCTTTCTGAAACACGTCGATTTTTACAAAGCTCATCGTTCTGAAAAGTGAGGTGTGCTCTGATTGGCCAGCTATCCAGTGTGTTGTGATTGGCCGAATACCTCAAGCGTGTGACGGAAATGTTACGCCCCTTACCATACTATAATGCCGTGTCCCAGCGCGATGAGACAAAACCAATCATAAACGAGGCATTTGTTGCATCCAGTGGGGACATGATTACAGATTATAATTACTTATACTGTCTTTACGCGCTGTGTAAACATAAAAACATGTCTGCATTTGTGATCAGAGAAACGACAGACAACAAGTGCTACTCTACACTGCCCAAAACTCTCGTTTGAATTGTCAGTGGCAAATTCTTTAAATATGAAAACGTACTTGCAGGCTGTGAGTCAGAAGCGCCAGACTGTCCTTGCAAAGTTGGAATTGCCCCACTTTATAGAAACTATTGTAGTCTACTCTCCCAGATTCAGGAAACAGGTTCAGGTCCTCAGTAAAATGCGCTGCACACATCTGAATATTTGGGTTGAACTGTTCTGGAACAGTGTTGTAAATACAACTTAACCACTGATTTCTAGTCTTATCCTCTTTTGGAAGGTCAAACAAGGTAGTTTCGACACACCGAAACACACAGCATCTCCACGACATGGCGGCGGCAACAGTACTACAGCGAGAATAAAAGTAATGCCGCCTTTCTTTGCGTGAACATTTGGGCGATGTTATACAAATCTTCCCACACAGTGACGTAGACGTGGGGGTGTGTTTAAATGAGGCGTTTTAGGAGGGTGTGGACGTCTTAACTTTTTATAAAGAATATATCTTTGGGTTTGAGACTTTAGTCTTTGCAACTTTAGGGATCTTATCTATGCATATCCAAAATAATTGATATTGAATCTAATCGAATTGGGAATCGAATCGTGAAATTTCTCTCAAAACTCAGCCCTAATTTGAATAGTGTACTATGTTCAGAATGCAATGCTACTACACCACATACTGTACTGTTCTATAGCATAGTTGTAGTATGCAGTATGTGACGCATGTATTATGCCAAGCATTTCTAACAGAAGTATGCAACAGTCACAAGACCTCATTACACTGCATGTTTAACTCTGCTAGTGGCACTCAGTTATCTCTGATTGATTTAAACTTTGGGCAGTTGGATGAAATTAGTCAAGCTGTGTGTTGCATTGTGGAATACAGTATTTATTTACAGTGTGGTAAACTCTATATTGCACATTTTGTCTGGGTATTCTACACTGTAAAAAGAAAATCCTGTTTTTATAGAAAAAAAACTGGCAGCTATGGTTGCTAGAATTAGTTTGAAAATATAGTAAAAATTTATACATTTGCAAAACTTATCAATTTCACAAGTAAAAACTCTAATTTGATCTGTAAATTAAAAAAAAATCTGGTAAATCCAGCAGTCCCTTTTGTAACTTTATAGGATAGTCCACCCAATAAATAAAAATGGCATTTATTCATGTCATTCCAAACCTGTTTGAGTTTGCTCTTCTGTAGTGAAAAATGTTGGTAGCCAAACAGTTGACGATAGCCATTGACTTCCATAGTATTTTTTTTTCTCCATACTATGGAAGTCAATGGCTACAGTCAACTTTACATAGGGTGCACAGTATACTTGCTGCATACTGCTGAAATAATGTTAGTGTTACTCCTATCTAATGTATTCATATTTCTTAGACTTTCTTCTCAATGGCTTTATTTTTCTCAGTCGGGGGAGTAGGAGGTATCAAACGGCATGCTGAGGACTCAAAGGAGATGCCATCAGAGAAGAAGAATCTGCCTGTGGTTGCCAAAAACCACAATCTTAAAGCAAACACAGAGAACCGTCCTCCTCAAACTGAAATGCCAAAAAATATCAGAGACAACCGTCCAACATCTCTTAACATCCAGAAAAGTGCTCCAGAGAAGCACATTGTAGCTATTTCAGCTCGGCAGACTGGCACAGACTGGCAGAAATCTCCAGGGCCAAAATGTGTGCAGGCGCCCGTCACTCCACTCAGAGTGAGATCTCCACAGCCACACAGAGATGCTGAGAAGGTGTCAATTTGGCTTTCCCTTGATTTAAGTGATTTGGTCTAATCCTAGTTATACAATTTAAATTTTATTTTATATACTTTATCTATAACCTATTTTATTATTTAAAGTGTATTTTATTGAATTTATATCTAATTTAACTTTTATATAATTTTTTTTATTTTTTCATTTATATTATAATTTTTTAAATTTACTTCCATTTATTGAAAAATTATTCATGATTCTGTTCTTTTGTAGAAAGCTGTTTTGGTGGAGAATTCAAATAAAACCGGCACATTGAACAGTGAATGTGCGGTATGTGGAAATCATGTACATCTGGTC